TTGTTTCTCTAGCTTTCTTGTAGCGGCTGCTGATGTGAGTTGTCTGTGAGGTGTTTTGGTGGAGCTTGGCACCATTTTTATGGGAGACCTGGAGCTCTGTAAATTCTTTCTCAGGGGTTAGTAGGGATGATTCTAAGGACTACCCGGAGCCAGCTGTGCTGTGGGATTTTGCTGCTCTTCTCTCTCACTGGGGTTTTGCTCTATCCTTATGTAGCCAGGATTCACTATTTGGCAGGTAGTTTGGGTGGCCCTGTCAGGCAGAGTGGACAGGGCGGTCTTAGGCAGCGGGGGTGGCACTGGGCAGGCTGTTGCATGGGACGTGCAAGACAAGTGTCCCAGAGTGTATGTGACACAGGATGCCAGTGTGAGGAACCCGCATGGCATTGGGATGCCAGGGGAAGGGGGGGCATGGAAAAGGAGGTATTGGGCATTTCAATGCAATGGGGATACACAAAGGGGGTGTGGGGTGTTTCAATGCAATGGGGAAAGTACAGATAGATCCCTGGGGTGCCATGTGGGTCCTGCCTTCTTATCCCCCAAACCGGCAATCATCTGCTGAGCTCCCACTGCAGTTACCTTTACCTTGCCACCATCTTCCCAGAACAGATTTATCATTTTCATCTACAATAGTCATCTCTCCTATACTCTCTGTCTGATAACCAGGTTATTCCTATCTTTCAAATATGGTTAGAGAGAAATCACTTATTTCTTGTATAGATCCTGCAAATGTATTTCAAGCTTCCACTGTCGTCCATAGCCTTATGTATGCCAGAATCTTACAATTTAAGCTCTGATACTATTTCCTCCTTCAGATTGGGGTTATATATTTTACAATCTCTGGATCATGGATGTTGATGTGCTTTTTCCATATGGACTTAGTTGATGCCAACTTGGAAGACTGTCTGTTTGCAAATAAACCTTTAAGACCCTAGACGTTGTTCTTTCTGATAGCTGGGCACCATCTCATTTCTTCACCACACTTTGCTATAGCAACTATCTCTTCTGTATTTCCCTCATGAGGGAAAGTTTAATGTCAGTAGGCTGATGTGGACAAGAATAAGAAAACAGGCCTGGCTAAAAAGAAATTTATTGTACATGGAGAGCATGACAGAAATGGTCTAAATTTGACTTAATATTGTGGATACAAGTCTGGACAAAATGGTCATCATTAGAAAAATTTTGAGCAAATGCCACCAGCTCTAATGTATTAGAGATGTGATATTGAGTGTGACTACATAATCACACTATATAATCAGATCTCCTTAAATTGTCATATTTTAGGTGCTATATAATCAGTAGTATTGACCAATTCTTGTAAGATTTACTGTATCTCAACTAGTCTAAAAGGAAATTGATACATTCGTACCTCATTAACTTGTCATTAAATAGTACCTGTCAAAATCCATGTTTATAGAGAGAATAGTACCTGAGTCGATGAGTCTAATCATATGCAATGGGTACCTAGGAAATGCCCTAAGCCATAGAAAAATGCTATACTTCAAAATCTGGATTCTAAAAGCATGACAGACTGTTACAAAGTAAATTATGTCCCCCCAAAGATAAATCACAATTGAATTCCTGGGACCTGAGATCATGGCATTGATTGATACTAGGGTATTTAAAGATGCTATTAGCTAGATTTACATAAAGTTATACTGGAGTTAAAGCCAATCAGATTGGTACTCTTAAAAGAAACGTGGAGAGACATAGGGAAGAAGACCATAGGATGAAGAAGCTATGATGTAGTTGTAAGCTAAGGTTTACCAGAACCTGGAAGAGAGGATCTTCCTTTGAAGCATTTATAGAGACTATGGCTCTGCCCACATTCTGATTATGAACTACTTGTGTCAAAACACCCAGTTTTTAGTAGTTTTATTGTAACAGCCTTAGGGGACTAATACAGAGAAACATTACATTGAGAGTTATATGATGTGTAGTTTAATGGGGCAGGAGGCTTCTGAAAACCATATTATATTGATGATAATGATGAAAATTATTTGATGACCTTTCCTAGAATGTAGAAAACATGTAGAGCACGCTGATTCACAAGAGTGGTCGTCAAACTGCCTTGCAAGTTAATGTAATGTAGCTAAAGGCGAGAATTTTAAGTTCTTTTTCTAAATAATAAACGGGTGGGATAGTGGTTACATGTTGGGCTGCTAATTGCAAGGTCAGCAGTTCAAAACCATGACAGCTTCCAGTAGGTTTCAACCACCCACATTGAGTTCAATGTTTATTTGACAGTTGAATACCTGACAAGTGCCACCAGGGTTCCACAGAGAGATAGATATGCATATATTTAAATACATCTATGTGTATACGTAATGATTATATTTAATGACACAATTACAAAAATAAGAAATTGAGCTTTATTTCAGTATAATCTGATAGATTATATAATCTAAATATATAATCATGCTATATAATCAGAATGTACAATGCAATAAGATTCACAATGACATCTTACTTATTTTCTAGGTCAATTGATGAAGATTGACCTTCTTGTTTTCTTTGTTTTTGGCATGTCTCTGTGTACATTTTCTTTTAAAAAATGTAGTGTGTTGCAATGGATTTCAATTTGAAAAGTATAAGATATGAAATATACAATTATATTTATAATATTTTAGGTAGATGGAAATCAACCATAAAAATTCTCAAACCATAGACATTTCCCATTCTCTCATGGACAAGTCCTAAAATGAATTATGGAATTGTGTAGAGTTAAAAAAAATTTATTACATTATTAGTTACCTTTAAGAGATTATTGAGTTAGTGACTTTTTGAAAACAGAAAAGGGCTGTCACTTATATGATTTCAGGGAAATGTGATACTTAACAATGAGTGAGAATGGAAGGATTTTCTAAGGAAGTTAAAAAAATCAGATAATGAAAGGCTATTTGAGAATGCCTTGTAGTTATAAGATTTTTGAAGCTGAAAACTGTTGATATATTTCTTATGAAAAATATTATCAACAAAATAAACCTGAGGAAAAATACCCAAACACTTGCAGTGAGTTCTGAATTTAACCTGTTAGAAACATAAAAATGCAACATTAGTGAGGTCACAGTTTACAAAAAGATAGAATGAACAAAGGAATGTATTACCAGAATTCAACACAATTTTGTGTCTTTTTCAGTATAGTTAGGAACATTCTAATGCTTATTCCTAAAACATTTAAGTAAATCAATGCAAAATATTTCACAGAATGCTTGTTTTATAGTAAAATTTCAATAAATTTTAATAATTTAAATTAAAAATTTTTTTAAAAATTTAAAAATTTAAAATTTCAATAAACATTTTCATCAACATTGCGGTTGTTCCTGTGTTGTTCTCTCAATTATTCTGCTGATGTTCCTCCTTATTCTCCCAATCCCAGCCTGCCGTTCTTTGAAATCAGGATCCATGGCTTATTCTTTGGTATCCATCAGGCACATTATTTATACATCCAAACCAAACTCAGTGCCATCAATTCAAAGACACAGTGACTCTCTCCCTCGGAAATGTTTATTGTTGGACATCACGATGAATAACTTGTCATTGATTTTCTCTCTGGCAATTTCCAATGCATTAATATACAGACAATGATTAGTTAACATATGTTTATTGACTCTGTTCTTTTTAAAAAATCATTTTATTGGGGGTTCATACAGCTCTTATCACAATCCACACATACATGCATTGTGTCAAGCACATTTGTACATTTGTTGCCATCACCATTTCAAAACATTTTCTTTCTACTTGAGCCCTTGCTATCAGCTCCTCATTAGTTTTCCTCCCCCTTCCATCGTCCCTCCCTCATGAACCCTTTGTAATTTATAAATTTTTTTTCATGCCATACACCAACTGCTGTCTCCCTTCACCCACTTTTCTGTTGTCCGTCCCCCAGGGAGGGGCTATATGTAGATCATTGTGATTGGTTCCTCCTTTCTCACCCTCACCTTCCTCTTCCCTTCCTGGTATTGCTACTCTCATTACTAGTCCTGAGGGGTTTATCCATCCTGTATTCCTGCTTCCAGCTCTTATCTGTACCAGTGTACATGCTCTGGTCTAGCTGGATTTATAAGGTAGAATTTAGATCATGATAGTAGGGGAAGAAAGCATTCAAGAACTAGAGGAAAGTTGTATGTTTCATTGGTGCTATACTGCACCCTGAAGGCTTGTCTCTTCCTTGTGAACCTCCACTCTGCACTCCCCCTCATTTGCATCGATACGATTTTTTGTTCTGGGTCTTTGATGCCTGATACCTGATCCTATTGAAACCTCATGATCACAAAGGCTGGTGTGCTTCTTCCCTGAGGACTTTGTTGCTTCTCAGCTAGATGGCCACTTGTTTATCTTCAAGCATTTAAGACCCCACATGCTATATCTTTTGATAGCCGGGCACCATCAGATTTCTTCACCACATTTCCTATGCACCTATTTTGTCTTCCGCAATCATGTCTATTGGCTACATTTTTACTGCTAGTTTAGATAATACATGTGTAAGCTACACCAATAAAAATATGATTAATACATTATCTGAAAGCTAGTCTATAATACATCACTGCTATTGAGTTAATTCTGACTAATAATGACTCTATAAAGGGTTTCCAAACTATAAATCTTTATGGAAGCAGAAAATCTCATCTCTATTTGAAAAAGTGGCTGGCGGGTTTAAACTGCTGACCTTGTGGTTAACCTACTATGCCAGGAGCCCCGGTGCAATGTAGGGTAAGTATTGGACTGGTAAATGTTCAGTTGGTGGTTCAAACTACCAGTAGATCCTCAGGAGAAGGTTGAGGCTATTGATCTTATGAAGACTTAGACTTGAGAACCCTACACAGTGGTGCTGAGTCTGAATGGACTCAGTGCCAATGGTTGATGTCACTTTTTTTTTTCAAATAGCAAACTATTCTAGAACATTTTCAGTGAGACTTTTGCATCACAAAAATTTTAACTGACCTTCTGTGACACTTGTAGTATCATAAGCATATTATTGTGAGAAATGAAAGTCTTTTAAATGAGATTTTTTTTGGTTATAATAGATCTTAAAGACTCCACTCGTTATTTCTTTTGCAATTCTAATCACTGAGAACTTGTTTCATTCATTTTTGAAAAGCAGTATATATCATGGTAGCTTTACATTCTTAACTTATTGATTTAATTGCTAAGATTAACAAACATTTTGTGGAAGCTAAGTATGATCAAAGGCACTATTGATTTTCCAAACATAGATTTTTATATTCTTGAATTATTGTAAACTACTAATGTAAGTAAATAAGGAAAAATCACATGTAGAATTTAATTTCATTAGAGTTTTAAGAGTTATTTTTGTTCTTTCATTTTAAGCTCCAGTTAAGAGTAGGAGAAATAACAAGGGTCCTTAGATTTCTGATCGAAATTGCAGCGTGGATCCTTTCATTTTCTTTTTGTAATCCTCTTCAAATGCCTCATACTGGGATACAGTGAACTTGTTTTTCCAGTCTCCTGAAATACCTGAAAATAAAGGGCAAATTTAGGACGACTGTGAATTTGGGCTGCTAACTGCAAAATCTACTCACTAAATTTAGCTACACTTATCCACTTGTAACAATAAAAAATAATAATTCCAAACATATTTAGTCATATTTAGTTGAGATGAGATTCTCAGAGCAAGATTTATCCATAACATACTTCCTTTCTTTGTCGAATCTACAGAAATTCAGTACAATGAACATTTCCCTTAATAGTTCCTTTGCATCAGTCTTTTACAAGTCAGCCTTCTCTCAGAAACTGGCTAATAATGTGTAATTTTAAATAATTATTCACTTCTCTCCATCACTTGAAGAAGAACTAACATCTTACCCCCTACACGTGTGTGGTGCTGATTCCTCTTTGCCTCATTAACTCTGAGCTTGGGTTTTGTATAACAAAACAGACACCTTAAAAGGCACTGAAAGTTTCCACCAACTTCTTCTTTTTTTTTCTAATCGTTTTTTTAGGGTCTCATACAACTCTTATCACAATCCCTGCATACATCAATTGTGTAAAGCACATTTGTACATTCATTGCCCTCATCATTCTCAAAACATTTGCTCTCCAC